TTGGTTCATATCTTTGCCACCTATGACTGCATTAGGAAATCGCACTGATAGTGTTCATAAACCCCCTGCACTGTTCACACACATGTGTGAGTTGACACAAACAGCTGAATTCAATGCAGGGGTACAGCCAGGATTTTCTTACAGGAGGGGCCAGAGCTTGTTGAATTTACATCATCCTAATTTCTGATTTTCTGTCAGGTGCCCTCTGTGGTGAAAAATGTGGGCCTCAGGGTGGGAAGGGGAGGGGCAGGCCACCTGTGCCCCTTCCTTGGCTGTACCCCCAATCCAATTCATTATGTTTTGATTATGGCAGGATCCCTTTGGTTGGGCTTCAGAGTGCATGGCAAGCAGGGTGCTGCTACTCACTTGCACCCCAGCATGCATGATAGGTCTTCATTTCCATTCTCTAACTGTGAAATAGTTAAAATTAGTTCTGATTTTCAGGCATGTCTTTAACACAGCTTTCTGTTCAAGAATTCCATTTTACAGTTCACAGTCATGTCCAGCAGATCTAAAGGCAGAGGAGTTGAATAGTGTGTTGGTTTTAGTCTAATTAGTATCATTCTTTCATGTTGAAGTGAATGTCCTTTTTGCAGCACAACTAGGCTTGCATTTTTACATAAAAACTGGTCTATGCCCTGCCATGGTCAATTCCCAACACATGACCACTTTATTCTATCCAGCATATGCCATATGAATATTTTCTAGGCAGGCTGACTGCACATTCCTGTTTTGGTTACCAGCGTAGGGCATGCCTGCTTCCCATGATCAGCCGTTCTCCTGTCGATTGCACAGTGGGCGCTGTCCCACACCACACTGCACCTCTTGCCGGGCGCTAACGGCGTCCCGCGCGCGGTGCGCCGCCGTACCGTGAGCAGGACGGACGGCCGACTGGACCTGTCTGGCAGCGACGTCCCGACCGAGCAGGCGGCCGTGCTCGGCAACCTGCTCTCCACCACAGCCGACGTCACGCAGCTCTGCCTCAACGACTGCCTGCTCTCCGAGGATGCCCTGAAGGTGGGCCGCGCGCGCGCCGCCGCCTGTGACGTGGCATAGCGCTGTGCGGATAGGGCGCAGATGAATCAGTAGATGTCCGCCTCCAGTGACGTTCGGGCGTCGCAGCAACCGTACGCAGCTAAACATGCTCCCTAAACTACAACGCACGACGTCCGTTATTTGCATTTTGCCGCTGCAGTATAAATTGTGGAATTATAGATTCACAGTGCTTTGTTCCTTCTTCTTATCCGATCAGGCCAGTCGTCTTTGTGACTCCGTTTTGTTGTGTTTGTTTGTTTTGTTTTTGTTTTTGTTTTTTGCTTCGTGGCATCCGTTTCTGGTGGCCTGTCGCTGGTTCTGCTTTGTGGCTGCTGAGCCTCTTCATGCTCACTGACGGCCTCTGTCTCCAGGCACTGTGCCTAGGCCTGTGCCTGAACACATCGGTGGAGCTGCTGGAGCTCCGGGGTAACAACGTGCGCGGCCCAGGCACGGAGCACCTGGCCACCCTGCTCAAGAAGAACGGCCGCCTGCGCGCGCTCACACTCGAGTGGAACAACCTCGGTGAGTCGGCACACGTCACCTGACGCTGCCCGCAGGCGTTTGGCTGCCGCGCCTGCCAACGTCGCCACGCTGCACGAGTGCGTGTCGGGGAGACCTTTCCCTTTACGAAGGGCGCTTTTCGCAGGTGGTCATACCGATCTTAGTGGTTGCAAACGATGGCTGGCTTAGCTTTGCTACAAAAGACTCACGGTGTCTCATTTTCACGTAGCTTATGATCATTTTCTGTCAGAGATGGCTGGGACATCGCCATGTTCTGTAGTCGGCAGCCACGCTTTGATGGCGTCGTGGCCGCCGCGAGGTGCGTATCTGGACGCGTCTCGCGCCGTCGGCAGGCCTGAGCCCGCCGTCGTTCCGCGTGTTTGCCGACGCGCTGCGCACCAACCGAGGCTTGACGTCGCTGGACCTGCGCAGCAACCAGCTGGACCACCAGTGCGCGGCGTACGTGGCGCGCGCCGTGGCCTCCAACCGCCACCTCAGCCACCTCGGTAATGGGCGGGAGATGTGGGGAAGAGAAGGGCCAGGCGCTCTAACTGGGCAAATGTAGGCCATCCTTACGCAAAAATCAACCAATGCCCAACCACGATCATTCCCACGATATGGTCACGTCATTCTTCCGCATATGCCTGCCGAATATTTTGCATGCATGCGTGCTGCATGTCCCTGTTTCGGGTGCCTATCATCGCCCATCGTTGCTTGAGGTGGGACTGTGCGGGTTGTTACATGATCCATTAATTACATATTGTAATTGTTTTCGGTGTGCCATATCGGTCACGGTGATGGCTAACGAAATACCACGCTGATACGGCGGGCTTTGGCCTGGGTCAAGTCAGAGATGCTAGATTCGATGCCCTCGGTCTTGTCGTCGGGCGCTGCATGCGATCGAGCGTCCGGCCCGTCTGTCTGCCATCTGCTCCGACACGCGGGGTGTTAACCGCCCGTGGCCTTTAGTGCGGAGACGCCGCATGTTAGCACCACACGTCCGTCGTGCCCCCAGACCTGCGCTGGAACGGCGTGGGCGTGCTGGGCGGCCGCAGCCTGGTCGACGCCCTGCAGGCCAACAGGTCACTGACCTCGTGTCCGGTGGACGGTAACGCCCTGCCGCCGACCCTCGCCCAGGCCATCGGTGACGATGCCGGCTGCTGCTTGTGGAGACGTGCTGCGGTTGTCAGACCCGTGTCTCTCTTCCCCTGCTGTAGGGGTGTGAGACCCTGGTCTTTCTGCCTCTGTCGAGGTGTCAGACCCGTGTCTTTCCGCCTCTGTTGTCTGGGGTGTCAGACCGTGTCTTTCCGCCTCTGCTGCCCGTGATGTCAGACCCGTGTTTCTCCGCCGTGCTGTCTGGGGTGTCAGACCCACATCTCTCCGCCTCTGCTGTCCGGGGTGTCAGACCCCGTGTCTCTCTGGCCTCTGCTATCCAGGGTGTCTGACCTGTATCTCTCTGCCTCTGTCCGGGTGGTGTCAGACACGCGTCTCTCCTCCTCTGCTGCCGGGGTGTCAGACCCGTGTCTTCTCTGCCTCTGTTGTCCGGGGTGTCAGACCGGTCACTTCCGCATCAGCTGTTCGGGGTGTCAGAACCCGTGTCCGTGGCTGTTACAGCTCTCCGGGTCCGCAACAACCAGGAGCTACTGGAGTCGTAGCGGCACAGGCGACCCGAGCTGCTCCCTCCTGACCGGCCGCAGAGTTCAGGTGAGACCCTGCCGGGCGCCTAACGTTCGGCCGTAGCCTGCCGCCTGTCGCACATCGCCTGCGGCACGACCCGCGTGTCGAGGCCGTATAGAAAAGTTGATCGCCGTACACATGTCTGTTTAGACAACTGCACTGGGAAGTGAGGATTTCTTGGCGGCGGTGAGACAAAATTTCCTGTTCTTGGACTGTATTGCTGTGAATCTATATGAGTGACGTTCATGTGGAGCCGAGCTGTGTCATAATGTGGACTCGATGTGAGTGCGTGAGCTGATGCTCACATCACTCACATCCGTGGTGTTCTCACATTCCGTGTGTCACTCACATTCCATGGGTGTTCGATTCGTGGGCGTGGCGTGCGGCTGAGCGATGCGGGCATTGCGGACGTACCGTGCCCGCCCACGACTTCCGTGGATGTTCATGGTGAATGTCCAGACACTCACACAGAGCTCCCTGTACAGAGCTGTGGACGGCCAGGTGGATGGAGTGTTCCGGACTCTGGAGACGGAGCGGGCGTCCTTCTCAGGAGTCCAGGCGTGAGTGTTACTGTCCCCTGCACCGGCACCTGTTGGCCCAGCGCGCCGGCCGTGTACGCTGGCCTTGGGTATGGAAAGTCAGCGATTTCGGTACATAGGAAGGCCATTGTTTTTTCCGTATACTTAACGCAGTTTCTAAGGAAGGGATTCCCTATTTGCTAGATAAGAGCTGATGGTACTGATTGAGAATACATGTAAATTCTCAAGCCGTGAGCGCCCCTGACTCACAAGTTGGCTGACAGGCAGAGATGGATAGTCTGAGATCAGCGAAATCAGAGTCAGTCGTGATTTTTTCCCAGCGTTTTTACTCCAAAAGTGTTGTGATGGCCGGCTTTTATGCAGCTTGACACCCAGCAACGTTATAGACAAAGTTGCTGCAGCTGGCGTGACGTGCATCATATATGTAGACAATTTCTCCGCTTTGTTTAGTGACCTGACCTTCCAGCTGGGTCAGCTTCAGGAGGCGCTAGAGGAACGGAAGGCAGCCGCCCAGCTTCTCACCTCCAAACTGTCTGCCACCACTGCCAAGCTGGAGACCACGGAGAAGGACAGGTGGGGGCTAGCTGGTATCTTACACTAACAGCCGTTACGAATGCCGCCGAGTTTGGCCTCATAATCTCACTGGCACCAAAACGCCTTCGTCACCAGGGCGGAACTGGAGGAAGAGTTGACAAGCTGCCGGGCCGAGCTGGCCTCCGTGAACACCACACGGAAACAGGAGCAGGAACAGCATAAAGAGGTGCGTGGATGTGGCTAGTTTCGGTGTGATGGGATGTAATTGTGTACGTCATGTGTACTTCAGCTTGGAGTGAGCGCGCTCTGCATCTCTCTTCCCTCCGAGTCCTCTGGAAGCAACCAGAGAACAACGCCAACCCGCTGGGACGTCTGCTTGGGACCTGACATAAGTGATGTGTGACGTCACCAAACGCCTCATCCTGTCTGACGGGATGTGATGTGACGCCACCAGGCGGCGCAGCGGGCGGAGCAGCAGCACGGCGAGCAGGCGGCGGAGCTGGAGCGGCGGCTGGCCGAGGAGCGCCAGCTGCGGCTGCAGGCCGAGCGCCAGCTGGCCGAGCAGGCCGCCAGGGCCGACCGGCTGCAGCAGGACGGGCTTCGGCTGCAGACGCTGGTCGGCTCGCTCCGGGACGACGTCCAGGGTCAGTGGGGGCGGAAGGCCCCTCCCTGGGATCGGATGGGGCCGGACCCTCGCGGGGGACGAATGTAACTGGCGATGCGCCCGTGCGTGGGAACGTATGCGCCTCTGAGAGCAGTGGACCTTGTGAGGCCCCGGGGGTGGGTTGGTGGGCTGCTATCTTCGGAGGCCGTTTAGTATCATCCCACAGTTTGCTGGCGCGAGCGCCGCGAGTCAGGGTAGGACGCGGCGGTGAGAGGGATCAGCTGGCGGGTGTCCGTGCATTGCTGGCCGATCAGCCGACTTGCGTCGGCAGCTAGGTCGCCACCTGCCACCGTCGCCAGTCGACCCCTGACCCGCTCTGACCGGTGTCACCAGCGGCCACCGAGCGGGAGCAGCTGAAGTGGCGCGCCGAGGCCGAGGCGGCCGACGAGCAGCGCAGGAGCCAGCTGGCCAAGGTCAAGGACCAGGCGACGGCCGCCGCCGCCAACCTGCAGGTGTGCTCCGACGCGCGTGACTGCCGACGTCACCACAGGAGAAGCCTGGCTCGGCTGTCACTGTCACCATGGTGACTCCATCCCCCTTCCCCTGAAGACCTCTTGTCACTGAAGGTGATCTCTTGATGAACCGATCTGCGTTTGGGGGACGAGCTTACGCACTCATGCTCTGCCAATCTTGACAGATTCCACCCTTTTCTTATTATGAGCAGACTACCTGTAACCTTCAGCCTCCTTTACTGCTGTTAACTGGCCCAGCTGAATCGGATCACACCTCACGCTTCTCCCCGCCTCTGCTGCCAGACCCAGCTGCGCCTGGGTGATGAGCAGAGGGTCACCCCTTGCGCTCCCCACCTCTGCTGCCAGACCCAGCTGCGTTGCGTGATGAGCAGGCGGTCACCCTTCACGCCCCTCCCAGCCCCTGTTTCCAGACCCAGCCGTGTTTGGGTGGCGAGCAGAGGGTCACCCATCACGCTCCCCGCCGCTGCTGCCAGGCCCAGCTGCGCCTGGGTGGCAAGCAGAGGGTCACCCATCACGCTCCCCGCCTCTGCTACCAGACCCAGCTGCGTTTGGGTGGCGAGCAGAGGGTCACCCCTCACGCTCCTCCCCGCCCCTGTTGCCAGACCCAGCTGCGCCTGGGTGACGAGCAGAGGGCAGCTCTGGAGGCGCAGCTGCACGAGGCCGGCCAGCGGGCTGTACACCGTCTCCCGAGAGCACCAGGAGGAGCTGGCCGCGCTCCGGCTGCGACTGAAGCAGCAGGAGGTACGCCTGGCGCGGCGCTGGCAGGTCACGCCACGGCCGTGGCAGGCGCTGCTGAGAGCTGACAGATATCAATGCTGCGGAAGATGTGTAATGTGCGTGATGTCGGCATCTGCGGTTTGCACGTGTCACTGTCCAAGCCACTAACCGAGGTTCGATGCTGAAGAGGAACACGGACACAATTTATATGGATTTATTTCCAATGCTGCGAGGCGTTTGGTGATTGGTTACCTGTAAGGAGACTGGCCCGTCCATTACAGGACGACCGCTGCCAGACTCTGCAGGCCCAGGTTGACCACGTCCACTCGCAGCTGGCATTGGCCGGCCAGGAGAGGCACCAGCTGGAGACAGCCAATCAGCGGCTGCAGGGCAAGACGCACCAGCTGGAGCTGGACGCCCGCACGCTCCGCTCCGAGGTGGAGTGCCTCACCAAGGTGACGGCGGGTGGAGGGACCTTCGTGGGCGGCGCGGTCCAACCGTACCCGGCCGGCACACCGCCAGGGGGACCCAGCCCGGTCCGATAACGGCCCGAACTTCCCGCAAATGTATCTTGCCTTTAACAGTTCTGGATCAGCTTGGACCGCACGCGGTCGTTGGTGGCGGTATCGTGATGATGATGATGATGATGAGGATGATGAGGATGATGAGGATGATGAGGATGATAAGGATGATGATGATGATGATGGTGATGATGGCTGCGCCAAGGTAATGGCGGTTTTGCGTGGAGCCTTATTGTCGGTGGTGCACGATCTTCTGGTGTCGCTCGTTAGGAGTTGGATGGCCCGATGGCCTGTCTGTGAATGCCCCGTCTCTGACTAGTGGAACTGACCGATAGCATGGCGTCCAACAGGAGGTGGAGCTGAAGCAGAGGGAGGTCCAGGGAGCCGTGGCCAGAGTCAGGACCGAGCTGCAGGCCGAGCTGGACGGCATCGAAGCTGCGAAGGCGCTGCACCAGCAGACGGAGAAGACTCTCAAAGAGGTCAGTGACCCGGACGTGAACTCGGGCCGGAAGCTGTTTGTCGGAACGTGCGAAATGCATTGCCCGGTCCATTCACGGCCTGGTAGAAGACGGAGCCAGCGTGCGTCCTCGCCTGGACCCGTTGCCTCGCGGTGTGCGATGTCAATGGTCGCATTCCGTAGTGAGTGGCGCCGCCCAACCAATGACCGTTGTCTGTTCGCACACGTGACTGTGTCCCGACCCGTGTGGCCAGACGCGCTCCCAGCTGGCTCGGCGGGAGGAGGAGCTGGAGAAGGAGACGCGACGGCACCGCGACGATGTCAGAAGGCTGCGCGATGAGCTGAAGCGTCGAGAGACGGAGATCATGAGGAACAAGTACGTGACGGCTGACTGGGACCGTGGCAGTTCGCGGTGCCCGCTCGAGTTACGGACGCTGTTCACCGCACCCTTGTCCGGGAGATATTGGCTAGTTTTCGTTTTTTGTTTTTGTTTTGCTGGAATGCTAGCGCAGGCCGGGAGTCTTCGAGCGATGTTTCTTTCTTTATGCTGATGTCACCAGCTCCTCGGTTGTTAATGAGGAGTGTGCGCAGCACGAAATGACCATGGCAGGCTGCGCGCCCCTGACAACCTCAGTTGTTATTATATTTTTGGGAGGTGTTGGATACCTCGATTACTTTGCTAACTGCGTCAATTTATAATTTCTTTTTCCGACTTATCTGGGTTCTGGGATAATTTCAGCTGATATGGGGTTAGACCGTGACCTTGAGGGAAAACATCCAGTGCTAACATCCGGTCCGTTTGTTCCATACCATAAGTGGGTTATGTCGATTAGCAGTTTTGTTATTGTCGTTGGGTTTTGTCTATAGGAAAATAGCGGCAATTTAAGTTTGCGTTCAGTGAAGTCGTGGATAAACCACAATTTAGTCACAACATTAAGCATCTTGGAACGGAATTCGCAATATGCCGCACATGATACGATTCGTGGTATGATCAGCGTACGCTGTATGCCTTGTCGAGTCGCACGTTTTCGATTGGTTCTGGACATCCAGCGAATCGGACCCGACTTGAAGGTGGGACGTAGGGATAGCGTCACAATGGAGGCGTGAGATATCGAATGAACGGATTAAAGCCACACGACAGGGTGGTTTCAACAGTTCACAGTTTTGCATCAATCGCTTTTGTATCGACCACAAGAACATCACTGTAATCGAGAACGACTAAGATGCCAGGTCGCCGCGCATTTATTGGTCTCGAAATTGTGTGGTGCCTTCACCACATCATCTGTTCGCTGCAAGATTGCGGCCGCTGTTCTCACGCAGGTCCAACAGCTGCAGCGACTCTGGTGGGGCTGAGATCTCGGCACCAGCCACGCCGAGCATTGTCCCCCCCCCCCCCCTCTCCCCCTTTTCCATAGGGAGGACGAGCTACAGCGGGCCGCCATCCTGCACGGCGCGTTCCGCAACTACTTCAGCGCCTCGCCGCAGCGGAGCGGCCGGCTACGTCGGGGCTCGTCCGCAGCGGACCCGGCAGCGGCAGCGGCCGCTGAGTCCGAGGACGACCACTGAGAACGGGACCGGACCGGGTCCGGAGCTCGGCCACGGCGGCGGAGCAGGGGTCCAGACCATGGCGACCTGAGCGGGGGAGTTGCCGGGACCGCCCGACCAAAGACGTGCGAAGTGTAGTTGCCTTGCGTCCTTCTGTGGCGCAGGGACGGGACCAATGCCGACATTGTGGCGCCTAAGCCGTCCATTTCGCTGTCAGTTGCATACAGGTGCTTGCATAGGTGTTTGGCGAGTGTTCAGTGTGTTTGTAACGTTTCTAGTCATCGAGGACCAAATACAGTCTGCATGGAGATTTGCCATGTTTGGCGCGGTATAGTGAAGGCGAGCTGGCTGTATGTATGGAGCCTTGTATTCCTTTGGGAGAACCTTAGTCTTGATATATGTCATGGCACCTCAAAACCGAATGTAATCACCGAAAAGGCTACAAAAGCACCAATAATTGAAAACAGGGGGCACGTGTCATCCTTCTCCCTAGGGCTGAGAGGCCCAAAAGGCCTTCTTCGGGACCAACAAGTAAGGGCCCGATTTGAGGGCCCGAAAGGCCGGCCGAAGTTTGTGTTTAGGGGCCACAGCCCGCTAGGCCGAGCAATCCAATGCCAGCCAGAGGATCCTGTGCACTGTTCGGGGGACCCCCTGAGTGAATATGGACCCATACGTCGATCATGCACCACCAATACCGCACAGCCGACCCCGTGTCGGTATGAGCCTTAGGGCTCACCTCCCACGCAGGGACAAAACCGGCCCCGCGACTTACATTAACCGGGGCCCCTGTACCTGTCGGGGCCCACATCGCTTAACAGGGAATCCTGCGTTGGTATGGTGTCCCTGGGGCCAACCAAAAGCAGTGTCTGACGGGCCCGAAGAGCGTCCCGAGCGCCCACGATCAACGGCCCGATTGGACGGTAAAGGGGCTTGAAGGGCTGGCTTAAGGTCACATAGATGACAGCAGCCTGTGACCTGAAATATCAGTCAGAGAGCCTCTTTCAGCAATTGAGGACCCGGCGAGACAATGTGGGCGTTTATACCGACCAGAGACCACCAACTCCGAACAGTTCGCTCCGTGTCGGTCTAAACACCGAGGCCCATTTGCCAAGCAGGAGCAAGGCGGGGCCCACGATTTGCATTGGTCTGGGTCCCTGAAACAATGGCTGGGCTCCTGTGTCAGTCACGGGCCCACAAAGCCTAACAACTTGTCGTGTGTCAAGGGTCTCGAGTCGCTTACAGGACCATTTGCTGAACAGGGACGGGACGGGACTGACCCCGAATGCTAGAGGGTCTCTCGCGTTGATCAGAGCCGTTTGACAGTGAAAGAGAGCATGCGAACTTGCGATAACAGTTCACATTGAGACCATGGAAGGGCCCTGTGTCAATCAGGGTCCCCAGTGCCGAACGGTGGGCCGTCTAGCCCAATGTCAATCATGGGTGTGTTAAGCGGAACTAGAATAGATGTGCCAATTATTGGACTACCTGTGGCGATCAGAGATGCTGTTGCGTCAATGAGAATTCCCGCGTTGATCCAGGACTGACCTCGCGGGTCAGAAGGCCTCCCGCGCCAGGGCGGCGACCAATGTGACATAACGTGTCCATTAAGGACTTCCGGATCGACCAGGGGATCCCCGCCCCCCGTGCCGCCAGAATGGCAGCTGGAAAGCTGCCCGCGCTAGGATAGAATGACCTGCGAGCTGCAGTCCAACAATAAGGGAACATGGTGTTGTTTCTTGACCAGAGCAGACGAAGCAGGCATTTGCACACTTGCTTCGCTGAACGTTGGTGCGATACGAGATGGAGTGCCGAAGTGACGTGTGGAAATGCTCTTCTGCTGTTCGCGACCTACCACAGACTCTACGTCTTTTTATCTTCCCATCATACGTCATGTTGATGATCTTTGTAGTGTTGTCGCCAGATGGCTAACCTCTGCTCTTGTTGCATGGTTCGTTTAGCATGCGTCCAGATGGCTTTTTGGATACCCTCGCCCGGGTGGGGGTCAATTTGACCCGCCTGAGATCTCAGCAACTAAGAGAGGTGGAAAGACACCAATTTAAGAGCGTGTCTTGGCCTGTACTTGAACCTACTTACGCAAAAGTTTGAGGTTCCTAGGTCATGACGTTCGGGTCAAATAAGGTCAAACGAAATTAAACGTCAGGCTAGTGCCCAAAGTTCCCTCAGAACTTAGATACCTGTTCTAAGTAAGAGGTGACATGCCTATTTAAGGTCAGTAACGTTTTTTGACCTTCTGAAGCTTATGGTGACAAAAATCATACCAGACTGCTTTGCGTTTTGCATTTGAATGAGTGGAAAAGATTACGCTAGGCAGTATGCTCCTTATAAAAATGTTGATCTGAGTCATTCTTGGTCAGTGACCTATTCTGAACTTTAACAATTCCATGGAATATTATGCCGTGGTTCCTGCTGCCAAGAAATTTAAAATAAGCACCAGAAACTACCCCCTAACTAACAGCAAAAACTAACAGCAAGCCTTAGAGTAATAAAAAAAGTTTATTTCGACCTTGGTCTAACCCTCACCCTGACCTAGGTTAATATAATTTGCTCATTAAATTGCTGTGTTGCCTAAAAAAGTATCTCATAGATGTATGGCTTCGTCTAACACTCCGTTGTTGCGTAAGATTGAAAGATTACCTAGAAACTGACTTCGCTGAATCTATGGCCTGACTTTGGCCTGCCACAGATCAGCGACCTTACAAGACGCATCGAAATTTTTGATACTACACGATCCGCTTTTCAAATGCCTACAGAAATTTGGCATGGCTACGCCGTGCCGTTCGGAAATCATTCCGGAAAAAAATTTCTGGGGGTCAAATTAACTCCCGCCCGAGCGCACACCAAGGGTGTTCAAAATCGCTTTGCTCCATCTGGCAGGTTAACTACCAAACGGGGCGGTCATCTACCATACAAAGCGAAGTAACACCATGCAACGCACTTTACAATATACTGTTCTTTTCTGCCACATCTGAGCCGCACAACCATGCTCGTCATACAGATGTTTGATGTCACGTAGCCTCTTAGACGCATGATATGCCACCTGCACTCACAATTACGTAGTATGGATAACGTCAAGCTTTAAAAGTCCCAGACAAGGTCGGGTGAAAAGGCACACCTTGCGTCATTCGTCATCATTTTCGTAATTAGACATTCGCATCCATGTGTAAGCCCTCTTTTCGGCGTGGGTCTGGTTATATACCATAGGTGTTTGTAGCTGCAAATCCCACTATATTTTTCGCGAAGTGTTATTTCTCCATGTCATGCAGGTGGTGCCTCTTTGGTACGAATCATTTGTGTACTTGTCCATGGTGTTTATGCCATCGCCCTGCCGGTCTCTAAAGCGTATGCTTCCTTGAAGTCAACAGGTACGCACCAGCGGCTGCGTCTATCACGACGCATTTCGCCAAATGCCAGCAATGCGATGACACTCTAGCGAATAATGCAAGGATGATATTAATATCATGACACTTTGTCGCGGTGTTGCCACCTGTGGTCAGCTGCTAGATGCCTTACGCCTACCTTATGGCGTGTTCCGTTTCAAGAGCATTTGTAATGTGCCCCGCACAAGGTGCTCGCTGCTGCCGTTGCCATCAGCGCGCGGTACGCCCTGACCGTCATCACAGGGAATGTTCTACATTAAAAAAAATATTGAAACTGGATCAGACACGATGAAATAAGTTCATTTAAAACTAATGGCATGCTTTTTAAGAGAAAAAGAGTTCTCTAGGCAACGCAATTTATCTGTTGAGTAAATATGCCCCTCAATACGTCACTGTTTGATGACGTATCGCATCTTGCAAAACATTGATTGAGAACCAGTTGGCGGCCGGTATATCTGGAAATCGTGCTCACGGGCTTCAGATATGGACGACTCGAAACTTCCACTTTTCTTGGCCTTGATCGCTGCATGACGCTGGAATGCCAGGAAATAAATGGCGTTATTATGGTAACAAGCATGCCTGAGTGACCTTGAAATACCCTCCCCGAAATATTCAGCACATGTTCGCGAGCGTGTCGCTCAGAAACTAGAAGGGTTTCGGTCGTATGAGCTTGAGGCTATGAATGTAACCAAATGGTCTTCAAGATGGCCACACGAATTCAAAGTCCCGTAGAAATGTGGAACACTCTCTTTAATAAAGGCATACAAAAATAATGAAACTGCTTCTGTCATATCCCAACACACTCACACACACACACACACACACACACACACCACACACACACACACACACACACACACACACACACGCGCACACACACACATGCACATATATATATATATATATATATATATATATATATATATATATATATATATATATATATATATATATATATATATATATATATATTATATCTCTCTCTCTCTCTCTCTCTCTCTCTCTCTCTCTCTCTTCTCTCTCTCTCTCTCTCTCTCTCTCTCTCTCTCTCTCTCTCTCTCTCTCTCTTCTCTCTCTCTCTCTCTCTCTCTCTCTCTCTTCTCTCTCCTCTCTCTCTCCTCTCTCTCTCTCTCTCTCTCTCTCTCTCTCTCTCTCTCTCTTCTCTCTCTCTCCTCTCTCTCTCTCTCTCTCTCTCTCTCTCTCTCTCTCTCTCTCTCTCTCTCTCTCTCTCTCTCTCTCTCTCTCTCTCCTCTCTCTCTCTCTCTCTCTCTCTCTCTCTCTCTCTCTCTCTCTCTCTCTCTCTCTCTCTCTCTCTCTCTCTCTCTCTCTCCTCTCTCTCTCTCTCTCTCTCTCTCTCTCTCTCTCTTCTCTCTCTCTCTCTCTCTCTCTCTCTCTCTCTCTCTCTCTCTCTCTCTCTCTCTCTCTCCTCTCTCTCTCTCTCTCTCTCTCTCTCTCTCTCTCTCTCTCTCTCTCTCTCTCTCTCTCTCTCTCTCTCTCTCTCTCTCTCTCTCTCTCTCTCTCTCTCTCTCTCTCTCTCTCTCTCTCCTCTCTCTCTCTCTCTCTCTCTCTCTCTCTCTCTCTCTCTCTCTCTCTCTCTCTCTCTCTCTCATCTCTCTACTCTCTTCTCTCTCTCTCTCTCTCTCTCTCTCTCTCTCTCTCTCTCTCTCTCTCTCTCGCTCTCTCTCTCTCTCTCTCTCTCTCTCTCTCTCTCTCTCTCTCTCTCTCTCTCTCTCTCTCTCTCTCTCTCTCTCTCCTCTCTCTCTCTCTCTCTCTCTGACAAAATAAGGCGGCATAAAGTCAACATTACTTAGACTTTCCACGCGCCAGGGGGTACTGTTTAAACACGACGCTGTAATTCTAAATAACTGTCGTATTGGCGGTGT